ACAGTACTTTAAAAACTACGCACAGTACGGTTCACTAACGTAAAAAAGCAAATTAAAACACCTTCCAGAAGCAAAACCCTGTAAATAAAATTAGAATTGCCCTCCACGACCATATGAGCTGTACGTTACAGATCACACAGCGGGTCTCATCGACAGAATCTTTTTCTACTTTCCATACAACATTCTTTCCTATCACTTCCAAAAGAGAGATTCCGGACCACAGAATAACAATAAATTTATTTTAAAAGAAATGACAGAGTTGCAAGTACAACAGTTACGCAAATTCCACCCACAAATACTGAAATATCACTTCTCATTTCCCCCTTTTTACAGGCTTAATTTTACATGAAATGATAACAAGAATAAATCTGAAGCAGTACTAGAAAACCCTCACATGAATAGTTATAAGGTATATGACTGCAGAAGATGAACAACGAGATCATTATTGTAAAGTACACCACGTATCAGCGTCCTGCTAGTAATAAATAATAAATGAAATAACTTATTCTATAAAAGTAGAGAAATAAACAAAAATAGTGAATAAAATGTAACTTCCCCAATTATTTTCTAAACAAATCTCTTTTCAATCTGGAAACTGATAACAAGTAATAAACAACAGCTATGAGTTGTTGGTTCTAAACAGGAACCTCATACTTAGCAAAATATGCACGACCACTTTTCTCTCAATAAACAAAGTATCATTTACTACGAAATAAATTAGTTATTTCTTCGAAAGCCCAAGTTTCCTGGCTTCACTTTCGTATATCAAAAGCCTCCACATTTTAACAACAAACACTTCCGCTTCGTCATCCAGAACCTAGATGTTTAGATCAAAACGACTTGAAAAAACTAAAAAGCACAACATTACGCATGTATCTTACCATAGCAATATCTGACAAAATTTTCTGCGGTTCGGTTTTTGCGGTCACTCGCTCACAAACGAAATCAACTAGCGATGCCTCCTCCTCGCCAATGTAATCAGTAATTTTTTTTGTAACCCATGGTTTGACCTAAAATAGTTCAGAAATCACATGAAAATTTCTGAGCATGGTTTGATAAGTATTTTTCATAATTCCTATTAAACTACCAGTAATGCCCTCGCGCCAGTGAACTTCAAAAAACCACTCCCAACAAAATAAACGCAGACGGTAAAAATCTCACTCACCCTTTGTTCCACCAGCGCACTGTCCACGTATTTCCAGTCAATTGGAAAAGCAAAAAGATCATCTTTTGCAGTCGGAATCCGATCTATCAATTCTTTGATCATCTGTTTCCTTTCCTCAGGAGTCATAGTTTGAATCCTGTCCTAAAAGCAATACTCAAAATCCCAAAATATCATTTAAAATGAAATTTCTAAGTTAAGAGTTTAATTATATTAACTTCCCACTCACCTCCTCAGTTATTTCGAAATGTCGCATTTTCTTCCGCTTATATACACCATCCTCCTCATTATCATCAAAACCAAAGACTCCATTTAATTTCGATGAAGAGGGAATTGACTGCAAAGCAGAATCTGTCGTAGTGCGCATTATCGCCGGGCTTGCCAAAGAAGATGACCTCACAGAAGGAGAACCCAAGCCAACAGATGGTGAATTTGCCCCGGGAGTGCCCTCTGAAGTAACTGGAAAAAAAAAAAAAAACATAGAAACCTACTATATAAGATAGGCGATAATGATTCATTTCACCAACCAGCTTTCCAACTGCTCTGCTTCTCCGTAGTGTTTTTCGTCTCTCGTTCAGCATCCTCCACACTTTGCTCAGTTTCAGACTCACTCTCCGACTCGTCGCTCTCTTCTTCTTCTTCTTCTGGTTCAGTATTAGTCGGGAAGGGTTTCTGACCCAATTTAAGATGAGGGTTGGGGCTACCTGAGTCTGCTCGCATTTTTCTTAAAAGCGCCTCCTCCTAAAGAAAAATCAACCGTAAAACACTATACTCAAAGCTGTGGAAAAAAGCCAAACACCCTCAAAGAAATCACAAAAACTGACGACTTTAATAAAAAAGAAAACAGAGGTAGAGGTGAGCGGCAAGAAAAAGAACAGAAATGGCTTAAGTACTTGTTCTCTATGTCGTCGTCTAGCCTCTTCTTCAGCATTTTCTATGTCTTGATTTTCAGCCAAAATTTGCTTCTTCAATTCTTCTATCTCTTGTTGCTCTTTCTGCCTATCTTTTGCATCTGCTTCACGTTCTCTTTCAAAATCACGTCTCCTCTGGAAAAGTGAAGAACTCCTGCAAAAACGAAGTTCTTGGCCGGAAAACCACCGTATGTAACAAACCAAACAAAAATAATATCAACTAAACGCTATAAAACAAAAAATAAAAGATTCATTTACTCAATCGACTCACTTATAGTACTTCTGATCCATTCTTTCATCATCATAGTCTTCCAAAAAATGCTTCAATTTTTTTGCTTCCTTCAATAAATCCCGTTTTCTCTGTTTTTCTCTTTGCTCATTTTTTTCATACAATTTCGCCTGCCTCCTCTCTCGAGCTTCCCACTTACGGAAACGAGCAGCGTAAGCAGCCTCCTTCTCACGAATCTTGAAAAAGAATGTGCAAAAAATATTTTTAACACTTTAATCATGAAGAACCTTGAACTTAAACAGATCTTAAACTGATAAAAGCAGAAATAAAGTAACCACAAATTTAGAATAACTTCCAAACAATGAAACCCCACTAGTTACAAAGGTCAGAAATAACTTAAACTTAGGTCAAATATACCTGCTTTTTCATAGCACGTCTAAATCTTTGTTCGTCGCTATCTTCAGAGTCCCTGTCTCTGAAAACAAAACTAGACAATCCACGTTTGCATAGCAGAAATGGTAACAAATTCGAAGAAAGTTCACAACTAACCATATAACAAAACAGACTACAAACCTGCTGGGAGACCTAGATCTAAATGCTTTATTTCCAGCGCTGTCAGAATCATCTGACGACGTACTAGTTGTAGAAGATGAACTACTAGAATGACTTGATACACTGCTACTCCTCGACAAGCGCCTACGAGGTCTAAAAAATTATAAGCTGTGAGTCTGAAGCATCTAAAAGTCCTAACAAATATAGAGGACATTCAAAAAAACCTCCTCCTGACCTACCCTTCTCACTGAGCATCTTGAAAAAACGTACTCTTTCCCCATAACAAGAGAACTATACCTCTTCGTGCTTCTGTCACTATCACTACGACTTCGTCTTCTAGACCTCCTTCGATCACGACTTGTTGACCTACTACGCGACCTATGACGCCGGCGTGACGAACTATATCTGTCTTCATCCTGGAAAGAAAAATTTGTTACCTCGCGTTGGAACAAATATACGGCATCCCGAATACCTAACAATCAAATGCCATTTCTTGACAGACGTTAGAAAACACAGCGAAAATGGCTGTATTCATTAGTGCCTCATAAGCGAAACAAAAAAACAGTCATACCCTTTAACCTGAGCTTATCACTTTGTCACATCTTACTCCTTTTTACAACTTATTGATAAACGAAAGTTCACCAATAAGTTACATGCATTTAAATTACAATAACAATAGCAAAATGAAAAAAAATAGTAATTTCTGGCTAAACAGTAATAAATAAAATTATCGTCGATGTCCGAAACAATAACAAGTGCATGATCAAGAAACATCAAACCGTGCAATGGCTTTTATAAAGAAAAAAAAAAAAAAAAAAAACTAAGTGGAAATTAACAAAAATGAATGAAGGATTACTATACATAAAAAAGCTAAATAATTAATAATAACAAACGATAAAGATTTTTGAAAAATGAGAACAAAATTGTTACAGCAAAAAGAATAAAAGCAGTTAATAAAAAATGTACTTGATTTGCCTGCTACTTACGTACTACAGATTAGACGTTTCGAGACCAAAATGCACTTTGCATCCTGAAAGAATCATTTGGGAAAAGTTTTGAGAACAAAAAATGGTGAATTACGATAAAAAGTGCTATTTAGGTGAGAGGCAAGTCGTTCTATTGTACAAAGCCAAACATTTACAAATTTAGGCCATAAATTCTCCACCAGTACTTCATTCAGAAAAACAATAACAATGGCTGTGTACAAATTTAGCCCAGCATGCAAAGCAAAGAACGTGCAAAAGCTTTTGTAACAGTGGAATAGAGGTTACTCGGTTTAAAAGAAGTGACAAATTTCCGCGTCCACGTAAACACAGGAACCTTTTGTACAAAGAAACACACAAACCGGCAGCCAAATTATAAACAAATGGATAGGAAAACTACACTTCTTTCACACCTACACTTCTGATCAGCTATATCATAATTTTTGCTTCAATTTTCCAACAACCGATCAATAACACAAAACAGCCATTAGGGCTGAAATTTAGCTACAATGGTTTCAGAATGAAATATGAGTAAAATTCAAAAAATTTCAAAACTTATATAAACGAAGATTTATAACCAACAAAATAGCATTAATCATCCCTCTGAATATGGCTATCAATAGAGCTCTGTGTAAGACGCAAAGTTACTCATAGAGGAGGAAGCCAAGCTACTAAAGTGTTAAAGCAAAAGAAGAACTAAAGTTCAACAAACGAGAGAAAAAAAGAACCAAAAAAATCAAGGGCATTTTAGTTCATGTACACTGATAAATGATCATATCACTTACCGATCGACTTTCAACTTATGAAGCTGTTACACAGATCTGGAAGAAATCATTTCTGTACGTAATCGTCGCACCCAATGAAATCCAGCAACTACAGAAAAAAGAACAAATCTCAGTAGTTTTTTGTAGCAGCTGTTTCTACCATTTTACATAATCGGAAAACCGAAAATGGTGACAGACACTATCCTAAGAAAATCGGCCTCTATCAAAAAAAGAAAAAAAAAGCAAAAGGCGAAAAAAAACAGAAAAGGAGCAATGACTTAGAATTTACAAAATTACGGCTAATCACTATAAAAAAGAGCACTCCTTGACAGAATAAAAGAAGAAACAATAACGAAAAATAGCTGATAGATGAATCACGATCAAACACCCAAAATCCCTCAAAAACCAAAGAAAAACATGAAAGAAAGAAACAACCCCACAAGTTCTTTAGCAACAAGCAAAAACCAGCGTGCAGAACATCACAAGGTTACAGAAATCTACCTTTCAACAAATAAGGGGAAAAACCAGAGGCGACCACTTTGGTTGTCAACTTAAAATAAAATGAATAATCTTGAGGAAAGCAACTGAAGGTCCGTTCCCTCTCCTTTAGTTGGCACAAAAAGGGGTAAATCGTCCCCGCTTTATCCCGGTAAGTCAGTCAGAGCATCTCTTACTGGATGTCGTCTTCTTTTTGCATGTTAGAAAGTCGAATAAGCAAGCAAAACACAGACGATGAGTTTCTCAATCTCAGTCGCCAAAACCTAAGTTCTGACGACAGGAGAAAGAAAACTAAAGGATAAATGAAAATAGAATGCGCGCATGATGTTAGTAAAAAATGAATGTAAAATCACAACTTACACGAATCCAAAAAAGCGGCATCGTTATCCAGAGAAAGCGAATTTTCCTATATAAGTATAATCAACTTGCTTTCAGGCAAAACAATCATAAAACTTACTTGCAAATGACGTTCTTCCTCTTGGTCCCTTAGATGTTACTTAACTCCCCCACTTTACAATCGTCCCCCACCCTTTTTGCTTATAACTTACAAGTTTTCTTGCCTACAGACTACAATAGTAGAATAGATGGCTCTTGGTCTAAGAGCAGTGAAAACGCGCTAACAAGAAATATTGGTTAAAAACCAACTTTTTATCAAACCCTAAAGCTCTTCACACAACACTTTAAAAGCGAAGATGACAAGAAGTAACAATAAAATACCATAATTACCTTACGATCTTTGCGCCTCTCGGTACTGCGGTCACTTCTATCCCGGTCTCTGTCACCAAGCTAAAAAAAATTTGATCAGACAAAAGCCCAACTTTGTTTCCTTCTACTCATAAAACAAAGTATAAAAATCAATCCAGAAAAATTCATTTAGCTCCTGACCTTTGATTTTTCCCCGCCGGGCGACCGTCCTTTCTCCGAGAGCTCACCATCTGAAAGCGATTTGACATAAAACCAAAGGCAACAAATAATATTTGAGGATTATCAGTATCAATAAGCAAATACATATTTGATCAGACAACATAAGTCTATCAAAAAAGCACATACGTAGAAACGCTCAGAGAACTTTCATGAAAATCTCAATTCCCAACCAGCTTAAGACGACAACAGTGCTTGTCGTAAAACAAAAATATACCTCGACCTTCTATAGGTAAAAGATTAGGCGCCTCTGTCTCGATCATTTTTTGGATCTTCTGCCTAACTTCTTCGTCATCAGCAGCGTTATCTTCGTCAGCAGGAAGGTCGTCAACCTCAAGTTTTTCAGCAGGCAAACCTTTCTCTGCACGTTTCTTAGCAATATAATCTTTTACCATAGCACGAGTTTTGTCATCAATCTAAAAATCTCATATTTAAACCAAAAACAACTAAGCTTTCGCGAGAAGCTATCACTTTCAAAAAAACAAAGAAGAAAAAATTTAGATTCTAGGCGTGATAAAAGCAAAACCTTTTGAAGAATACCGAAACATGTCAATATAAAAACAAACTTTTACTACAAGCTTCTTGTCCCCCAAAGGAAAGTCATGCAGAACCCTCAAAGCCCGCATCGTGCCATAAGGGTTGTCAAATTCACAAAATCCAAACGCTTGAAATTTACCATTGGACCCCTGAATGCGCTTCCACGTGGCTACAGGGCCACACTCCTGAAATGCAAAACCGTCAATTAGTCGAAAATCTAACAGTGAAATAATCAGGCAAAAATTTTCAGAAAAACTATTAGTCACTCACATTCAATAAAGATCGTATTAGTTCATTGTTGCATTTTTCATTGATGTTACCGACAAAAACTGTTGTTACAGGAGGCTTCTCAGGCGGCTTAAAAATACTATTATTAAATTAACGCTCTGAGACCAAATTTCGCAGCAGCAGTAAATGAAGTGAAAATCCAAACAGGAAATAAGTTTTGATGCTAATAAAACTAAACAAATGGCAGCGTTATTAGCAAAAATCAAAATCGATATTGACCACATACATCAAAAAACAAGAATTTTAATCGCTAACCATGATTAATTATACACTTCTACATATAATGCCAACAAGTTTATTTGTACAATAAAATTAAAAGATAAGATCACCAATTCCAACTCATTGAAAATGATTGTATTGTCTATCACCAATAATAAAATACCTTGGGTTGAGGTACTGGAGGAGCAGCCATTCTCTGAGAGTTGACGGCTGCTGCTGCCATTAGCGGATTTGGTACGAAATAAGGATTCGCAAAAGGCACTAAATGTGGAAGAGTTAAAAATAGCATAATTAAAAAGGCAACCCTTAAAAACCACTAGTTTATCAAACCCACCTAAGTAAATGGCTTCAGTTCTATATTTTACTGCTAATTTCGAATTTATTAAACGAGAAAAAATTAAAAATCAGAAAGAAAAGAATTTGAAACAAGAATAATACAAAAATTATGAGCAAAGTTTTCAAGTAGCACGAACGTACTGGTCATTAATCTGTTCAGCTTTGTGACGGTATCAAGAGCGTATAAAAGTTCCAGATAATCCATTTAACGAAAAAATCGAAATAAACTGCCAAAAAAGAGCTGGTAAATCCTACTAATGAAAAAGAAAAATGCTGTTGCAAGTTGATTTAACACGCGCAATCTCATAAATTACGAGGAAAACAAACAAAATTTCAATCAGTCACAACAAAGGAATTTCAAGTTGAAAACAATATAAATATGAGTAAAGCTTTAAATTTGCCAACAATTCCGTTAACTTTTCAAACTATCGAAGACACAGAACTTAGAGCTATAGAAA